TCCAAGATTCGTCAGTCACTAGAATTAGGTTTGTATCTTCGTCCTCGAGTGAAGCTAAGATGCCAAACCTTTGATTCTTAACCACACATTTAATGTCTATTCGTTGGAAACACTCGGATATTATGACTTGTTTCTCTTTATTCGGCTCTCCTATATCGTGCAGCTTGGTAATTCCATCAACCAACAGTGTTATTGTGTCCCCACATGTTACCCTCAAGATGTAGTGGTCATATACACCTGAAATTGTATAAGATGAGATGGCACACTTTTATAATGCTATTTTCAACTTTATCTGAGAGTCATAAATCGAATGAATAAGAGTTTACAAACCTCTGAAGACAAGTGATAGAGCAACAAGAAGGAAAATCCTCGTCATCGTTATTTCCTTCAATTGTTACATCGTTATCTGTCCCATCACATGAATAGCATAGCAAAGTAAGACTGCACGACAATGTTAAGTTTACTAGTTATACGTTTCTAAAATAAACCTTATTAAATATAATATATAATATAATATATCAAATAAAGGGAAATTGGTAGATCACCGACCGGCTATAAGCCGGTTATAAGCCGGCTATAAACCGGCTTATAGCCGGCTACAATTTTTATAGCTGGCTATAAGCCGGCTTATAGCCGGTTAGTAGCCGCTTACATTCGTTGTTGAGCGACGGCTATTAGCCGGTTATAAGCCGGCTATTAGCCGTTTAGGTATCGGCTATAAGAAATTCAGTGAAAACGGCTATTAGCCGGTTATAAGCCGGCTATTAGCCGTTTAGGTATCGAAAGTGGTTACAAGCCGGCTATAAGCCGGCTATAAGCCGGTTATAAGATATTAACTCAACTTCATCGTACTGAACGATAGTCAGGAGCCGGCTATAAGAAATTCAGCGAAAACGGCTATTAGCCGGTTATAAGCCGGCTATTAGCCGTTTAGGTATCGAAAGTGGTTATAAGCCGGCTATAAGCCGGCTATAAGATATTAACTTAACTTCATCGTACTGAACTGAGTTAATATCTTATATTTATAACCGGCTTATAGCCGGCTTATAACCACTTTCGATACCTAAACGGCTAATAGCCGGCTTATAACCGGCTAATAGCCGTTTTCACTGAATTTCTTATAGCCGGCTCCTGACTATCGTTCAGTACGATGTAGTTGAGTTAATATCTTATAACCGGCTTATAACCACTTTTAATACCAAAACGGCTAATAGCAGGCTTATAACCGGCTAATAGCCGTCGCTCAACAACAAATGGGGAAATTGGTAGATCACCGACCGGCTATAAGCCGGTTATAAGCCGGCTATAAACCGGCTTATAGCCGGCTACAATTTATATATAGCTAACGTCTAACATTATAACTGACGTCTAACATTTCAAATAAAACACATGAAATAGTTGAAAGATCTTTGCACAAGCTAAATGTCTTTCCAAAACTGGTCGGTTTTGACTTTGGACAGAGGGCGAGGAACGCATCTAAGAAAATATATGATAAGCTCTACCCATTTGACAAAAGACTTGCAGTCTGTACACAGACTACGTGCGTAGGACACGAGGGCGTAGAACACGAGGGCGTAGGACACGAGGGCGAAAGTTTCCTAAAAGGTTGGACACGAGGGCGAAGGACACTAAGTACCTACTGTTTTAAAGACGAAGACTCTAGGTATTTCCACAGCTATGTTTTGGCTCTGGGCAGAGGGTGGGAGACAAAATATCTAAATATGCTAAACTAATGGTAGAGCTATTAACATGAGATAAACTTCTACGCGCAACTCACTGTGTATAAGTAAAGCCAAAAACAGAAGTACTTGGCAACGCAGAGGGAACGATCTATCCTCTCGTGGGCTTACTTGGCCCAGCCTCTCTTTTAAAAAAGAAAAAAAAAAGAGGGAACGATCTTTCGCGGCTTTTAGATTTCTGAAAGCAACGAAACGGAAAACATCGTGACTTTTTACATGTGCGAATCAATATTCCCGTAGATAATAGCCGACTCACCCAGATAATAGCCGACTCACCCTGGCCCTCTTGAATATCCATTGAAGATTGGATTTGTCGGTAATCGAAGGTGATAACATAGGTTGTCGAGTGTCAACCCATTTAGTATAATAATACCACAATAGTTTACATAACAATAGGATAAGGTCTCATCCTCTGTGCTCTTATTAAACAATTGGTAGATTTTATTTAAATATCAAATCAAATGCGCATTTTATTGCTATAATAAACTACCGGGTCAGTAATCCTGGCTACCCCTCGATAATTTAATCGAATTGGGATTGTGACTATTATGTAATGTAAAATATTCCAAATCATGATATTGATGAATTCAATGTCGTGACCTATGACAGATTTATGATAGTCAGTATGAAAACAAAAAACGTAAATAAAACTTTTTGGTCCGATTTGTACGTTTAATATTCCAAGTATGGTATTTTATTTCAAATATCACTGTGATCGGTTTCTTATCTTAACTAGAGGTAAAAATCAACTGAGAAGACTT